GTGGGAGCTGCGCGCACGGGGGAAGGAGGTCCAGTCGGGAGCTGCGCATGGGGTGGGGTCCGCTCGGATGCCGCGCGCGAGGGAAGAGGTCCGGTCGAGAGCTGCGCGCGGGGAGGGTGGTCCGTCGTGCGGAGGAGACGAAGATGATGTGAACACGTTTTTTTCAATTTTTTTTTATTTTCTTAAATCTGATCCACATAGATGCATTTTAGCCAATCAGATTTCTCCCCTCAATGCTAAGCAACGTCCCTTGTACAAGCAACACAGAAAAAAATTTAAGCAACTCAAGTGCCATGTAGGATCACTCCAATGGGAGTTTTTAATAAGCTCTGTTACTTATTTTTAAGACACAGCACAAGCACCCTCCGCTGGAGGTGCTCTAAGTAAAATGTGGGTCGCGGGTGTGAATATGGATTCATAGGTACCTAGTGCGTACGAGAGTAAAAATTAAAATTGTTACCCCCACGGTTATGGGGCTGGGTATGTGTATTATTTTTAAACACGGGTTTGGGAACAAGTACTATAAGACCTTACCCAAACCTTACTCATTGCCATCTTTACAAATAAAAGTTCATGTTTATCATGCAGTAGTTGATATACATGCTAACTTAATTTCAAATTTTCATATATATATGAGGAGGAATCTTTTTATTCTAGAAGTAAGTCTACTTAGACTTATTCCATTTAATAACTCATGTTCTGATTCAAATTTCAACAATCCAACCGTTGAATTTAAAGTTCTTAATGCATAGATCAAATGTGCAAATTATAAAAAAAATTGAAAATCATTTGATACTTCATTTCATTAATTCAAATTGACGGATAATCATAAAATCATTTTATACATTGTTTTGAATTAATGAAATGAAGTATCAAATGATTTTTAAATTTTCTAAAAATTTACAAATTTGATATATGAATTAAGAACTTTAAATTCAACGGTTGAATCGTTGAAATTTGATGCAAAACATGAGTTATTGAACGGAGTAAGTTTAAGTAAACTTACTTCTAGAATAAAATATCCCTTATATATATATATATATATATAACTAGAAGCGTTCAAAACGAAATCAATACAAACAAAAAATTGCAAATCTATTAAAAATAAAAAATTGATGAAAAATCACAAATTAGTGGTTTGATTTCGTTTTTTAATTTTTAAAAGTCACACAATTTGGTGTGATTTTTGTATTAAAATGTGAAACTGCTTTAAATCAAATTGTACTTATTTGTAAATTTAAAATTATCGTTTTCAGTTGCTATAATTTTCAAAAATTTTGTTTTATTTTCTTATGTTATCAATAATATATTTGAAAGTGTCAAATTAAACAATTATGTATTATCAGTTGGATTTAATGTGATATTTTCATTAACAGAGACACTACTAAGTAGTTTTATGTAGAAATATTTGATAGATTCAAAACAAAATTTGAATATAAGAATTAAAACAAAATTTATTAATATTACTCAGATTAAAAAAACCAATTTTAAATTTAAAGAATTAAAAATAATTTTTCTTAAAAGACTTAAAATATATTTAAATATAATTTTACACAAATTAAGAATATAGAATAATTTTCACGTATTTTTTTTTCCAAAGGCAGCGTTGAAGAAGTTAGTATAATTTTTATCCTAAAACAATTAGATAAAACCATTAAAGTAATAAGAGTAAGTAATGTAAACTTATCTTATTTACCTCTTTAATTATTATTATTACGACAATTACTACTTGATTTGATTAGAACAAGTTTTAAAGGCGAAAACCATTGGCTTGGTGGCATTGGTCTCGTTCTAGTTTCTTCTGCTGCGCCCACAGTCCCAACACCAAACCCGGAAACCGGTCTTCGGTTTTCTCCAAACCGCTTTTCATTCCCGAAAACCAGGAGCCTTTTTTTAACATGCCAAAACCGCTGAAAAGTTGCCCCTTAGTCCCCAATATGTGGCGATTCGACCGCACTCTCCGTGCATTCCACGCGCCCCTCAAAATTTGTACCCTTTTGCATGCATCTCACACCATCTCTTTTACCGTTTTACCCTTCCCCTTTTCATTTTCCGTGCCAGATTCCTTAATACAGCACAAAAAGTCACTTTGGTCCGAGGGAGAATCATTATGTCATCTTCTGCTACAACAATTCAAGAATTTTTCTGAAATAAAATTTTTTAAAAAAAATTTATCAGAAGCAACTGTTCCAATTTATTTATAAAAATATTACCTTTTACTTTTCACATTTAAAATTTGATTTCTGAGAAACTGAATTCTGAATTATTAAATTTTTTTTGCTCAGAACTCGATTTTCGAGAAATAAAATTCTGAGTAGTGTTTAATTTTTTTTTCTTTTCTATTTATAATTCGGGTTGTGTGTTAATGATGCAACTGAACGGGCCGTTCTGCTTGCACGTGTAGTATGTTATTTTTGAAACTGGAACGTCCAAGCAGAACGGTCCGTTTTGATCCATTCGTCATGTGTGTATTTTTGCATCCGGAACGGCCCGTTCTGAAAGAAGAACGGACCGTACAGTAAGGAGAACAAACCTTTCTGCAAGGAGAACGACCCGTTCTCTTTTTAGAACGGGCCTTCCGGATCCAGCTTTATACCATACTCAGATCCAATAACGCAAAAAAAATATAAAAAAATTTTAACAGCTCAGAATTCGGTTTCCCGAGAACCGAATTCTAAACGTGAACAGGGTAAATAAAGTGATATAGGTGCTTTTTTGTAAATTTTTTTAAAAAAAATCTTATTTTAGTAAAAAATTCACAATTCAAATCTATGGTGTCAAGAAATAAATATAAAAAAAAAAGAAAATAAAAATAATAGTGTTTTTGATTTAAATGAAAAAAAAGGTACTAGTTTTACGGGTGGTACCACGCTGATGACGTAAGTTGCATCAATAGGGAGTTGAAGCCACGCGCGTAAAGTGAGAGTGGGTTTGGCCGCCCCCACAGAAACGGAAAAAAAAAATAGTGATCATGCTGGAAACTAGAAAGTGGTTCGAAGTTGCAACCCCCTCGAATGTGGAAAAACCTCAAAACCATTGTTTCATCATAGAAAATAAAAAGAAACAAAAAAACAATTGATAAGAAACAGCCTGCGTCCCCCACAACATGTGACTAAACCCAGCAGCGCCGGAACCCCAACAACTATATAGCTGCCTCCTTCTCACACTCCCACAATTCCAATTCCAATTCCCATCTCCGAAAGTACAATTGGGACAACAATAGTTCAAGAACTTTAGTTTAAGGTTGTGTCAAAATGCGAATGAGTTGTAACGGGTGTCGCGTCTTGCGCAAAGGCTGTACCCAAGATTGTAGCATTCGACCCTGCTTGCAATGGATCAAGAACCCAGAATCTCAAGCTAATGCAACCGTTTTCCTTGCCAAATTCTATGGTCGTGCTGGCCTCATCAACCTCGTCAATGCTGGTCCTCAACACCTTCGACCAGGTAATAATCAGAATTAGAGTTTTATCTATATAATATGCATGAGTATGAACATTAACATAATTTATTTAAGCAAATTAAACTTCAATTACTTGCATGCAACTAGTGAAATTCATGGGACAAAATTGAAACATCATGTACTTGATTATTTTTTATTGATTGTGTTTTGGGTTTTTTTTTTTTTTTTTTCAGCGATTTTTCGATCCTTGTTATACGAAGCATGTGGTAGAATTGTGAACCCGATTTACGGTTCAGTGGGTTTGTTATGGTCTGGGAGCTGGCAGCTTTGTCAAGCCGCTGTGGAAGCCGTTTTGAAGGGTGAGCCGATCACGCCGATCACGTCTGAAGCCGCGGCTAATGGTCAAGCCCCACCTCTTAAACCCTACGACATACGCCACGTGTCAAAAGACGAGAGCCCCGCGAATGAAACAAAAAGGGTCAAGACCCGGTCCAAGCGAGCCGCTGGGTCGCTTATTAAACCGAAGGCGAGTAAAGGGACCCGGTTCGCTGCGACGGAACCGGAGACGGCGAGTCACGAGTCCGGGCTGAGCCACTTGTCGGAGGCGGCGGCGGCGATGATGGTGGAGGGAGAGAGTAAAGAGAGTGAGAGCGTGGTGTCGGCGGAGACTTCGAACCTGTTCCGTGACGAAGCGGAGGCGGTTGAGGCGGGTGGGCGAACCGGCGAGGTTGGTTTGGAATTGACGCTTGGGTTGGAACCGGTGTCACGTGCGTGTCACGTGGTGCCGGTGAAAAAGAGAAGAATTGAGTTGGGTGAGAAATTGGCGTGTAAGATGGAGCTGGGGCTTGAGTACTCGGCTTAAGTGGTTTTGGCTTAATCGGCTTTTCTTTCTAGAAGCTTCTAGGTGAGATAAGTGAAGTTTAGAAGCCGTTGTTAATTGTTATTATGTTTTTTATTTTTTTTTTACATATATATTTCGAAAACTTTTTTTGGGGTTAATTTTTGTGAATGCGGTGCTGTACAAACATGGTCGAAATCGTGATATGTATAGAGGAAATTGGAAATTACAACATTATAAGTATTTATTGCAAGAAGAATGATTTTTATAAGTGTTTATTGCCAAGAGAATTATTTCAGACTTGTTGGGCCTCGATGCAGTTTCATTATTTATTACTAGTGTAAAAAAAATGTTATGTATTACGTGGGTTTTTAGTTAAATAAAATATAATTAATTAAGCTAAAAAAATAGTCGGTGATTAATAATCCATGACAGTTTTTGAATAATTATAAATGATACAATTGTATATAACCTGGAAGTTATAACAACGTGATAGTTTAAAAGTTGTGTAGATTAATCTTTCAAAATTGGTTAAATCTTTTTATTTTTATTACTTAGGATTTCGCATTAAATCTAATTTTTCCTGTCTTTTATATTTTTTTTTTATGAAGATTTGAACTGAAATATTTATAAGATTGATTAAGTCTTTTTATTTTTATTAGTTAGAATTTGGTATTGAATCATATTTTTTTCATATAGACTTGTTTTGAATATTCATTAAAAAAATTTAAAAGACTTAATGGTTAATTTTGATTTTATATGAAGTCATATTTTTATTCTAGTATAAACTCTAATGTATAAAAAAGAAATTGTGTATACTGAAAATAAACTTTTATTCATTATTAGTATAGATTTCACCATAAATTATATAATATTTTTACTTAGTTAATATGTATACAAATATATAACAAAATTGGAAGGAACAATTAATTATTTAATTTTCGCTTGTGAGTTTTGATGTTCTGGCGTCTCTTAGGCTTTTTTATTTATTTATTTTTTTACAATTTTTGTCGTACCCAAAAATATGCACACAATGAATGTTTAATTGAATGATGATATCATTAGCAACGTTCATGTAAAAAAACATTTTCTATAGATACTTTTTCCTTGAAATTTTATGTTTGCTATATCTACGATATGTATTTTATAATATATTATTTTATTAAGTTATAAGAAACTTCAATAGTTTTTCTAACCCGACAACGGTACAAAGTTGCATAAAATGGTTTTTATAATCTACTCTTAAGAAGCACTTTATATATAAGTTGGATCCAAAATTTGAAGGGCATCGATTGTCTAAAAGAACAACACATTAATTTTCCAGTTTCTCTCACTCAAATGTGCACATTTAATACTCACATCCAACAATCAAATCATATCCAATATGTATTTTATGCATAAACAATGATTCATAGCTTCGATTATAAGGTGAATGATTATAAGATCTGATTTGATATACAAAAATTTGGTCTAATACTTCCACTTAAATGGAACTATATGGATCTTATATATACAATTTTTGTTTTGGTAAATGAGCAGATTAAAATTCCAAACTAAACCGCAAAAAGAAATGTTTTTTTTTTTGAATATTTTGAATTCAAGGAGGAGAATTTGACAAAAGATGTAAACCATCTATCAAGGAACTTTCACTCTTAACAAGCATATACACAATTAGATTTGCTTATCTGAAAATGTGATTGCGAATATTTTGTAGTCCATTATTTATTACAAATTATTTATTTTGTGATTAAGAGAACATTTTGTAAATTATCGTTGAGCCTACATGCAATTTCATTACTTATTATTAGCGTAAAAAAATACTCGATATTTCGTGTATTTTAATTAAATAAATATATAATTAATTAAAATTAAGTAATAGTTGATGATTCATAACCAAAGACAATTTTTGAATAATTATAGTTGATACAATAGTATATAATATGAAAATTATAAGAACATAATAGTTTAAAAATTATATATAATTTGTACTAAAAATGGGATAATACATTTATATTCCATTAAAAATTTTCAAAAGATTTGTATTAAAAACGGGATAAGAAATTTATGTTCCATTAAAAATTTTCAAAGAGATTAGTGATTAACTTTAAATTCATGTCTTATCATAATCTAAACTTTTATATAAAAGGATTCTTTTTTAATGTAAATAAGAAGGAGATCCCAGATAATTATTATATTCAAATTATCATTTAGGAGATTATTTACTATTTGATAAAATTTTTGTGATAGAAATCCAAAATTACTATCACCCTCATTTAAAAGATTATTTAATATTTGATATGGTTCCATAATAATAAAAAAAATTAAAATCTAAAATAATTTTTACTGTAGAAATTAAGATAATGTCACATTCAAGTAATTTTTTTTTATTTTATTAATCAATTTTTAATTTTTGTTAACACAGATTAAGGCATGAATATTTAATTATAAAATAATATAACTATTTTATTTTATTATGTAACAATTATACGTGATATTAATTATTTTATAATTAGTTCTTACGTATATTAGTTGCGTTTAAAATTTAATATGTCCATGTCTAAAAAAGGGATCTAATTCATTTGAAAAATAAAAGATTTAGTTTTTGCTTTTATCATCTAAAAGCAAAGTGATTTTTGTTAGTCTCTTAAATGGGCTTGGCCTGCGTAAAAGGAGGGGTAAAAAAAAATGCAACTAACCCATATGTTTGCATAGCTAAATAAAAAATAGGACTAATAAAATGAAAATTTTAGTGGATTTAATGGATTGTTTTTATCTAATTCATTATGATACATCTAAAAAATTATCCAATCTAATTTATTTATCATCTTTAAATCAATTTTTTTTAATAATCATAGTATAGATACAAAATTTCGTATTGATTTATTTCTTTCACTCCTTTAATAAGATAAAAGTCCAATAGAAAATTTCCTTTAACCCATAAAATGGGGTTTGAGTTGTTTATGTTATGGTCCCTCAATATCTACAGCATCACGTGTAACTACATATTTATAGTTAAGATAACACCAAACATCTTTAAATATGCCAATATCTTAATTATACCATCCTCTTCCATCTAATCCATGTCATGAAATTTATAATAAAAAATACAAATAAATAAAAATATATTCATAATTAATAAACTAATTTTAGAATAATTCCTTTAAAAGTTATATTTAAAATATTACTTACTTACTTAATGGTCTAGTTTTTTTACAATAACATGCATCAAAATACAATTCAAACAAAACCCCCTATATTTTACTAGAGAACATATTTATAATGAGTATATATATCCTAATCCTTGCCACCATGACTTATAAGCTCTTTCTCCACATGGAAAACACAAATAATCACAATGATATTCAGCAAGATTATTAGAAGCACCTCCTAAATGCATAACCCTGAAGTCTATAATATATAAGTCTTATGGCTCTAAAGGGTTGAGGCAAAGTTGAACACCATACTTGGGCTTAATGGTGAGGATAACCACTGGTGCATGCCTATAATTCTGAGAAATGGTGAAGCTAAACCTAGACAGCAACATGGCCAGAATGATCTTAGCTTCCATGATGGCAAATGATTGTCCAACACAGTTTCTAGGGCCAGAGGCAAATGGAATGAAACGGCCAGGCATGAAGGACTTTGAAGCAAACCTCTCAGGGTTGAACTTGTTTGCATCTTTGCCCCAAAGCTCTTCACTGTGGTGAATGGCTAGCACTGGAATCCAAATTGATAAGCCTTTGGGAATGTGAAGATCACCCAGTTGAATGTCTTTGAATGCCGTTCTTGGAAGCACTGTTGCCGGAGGGTACAGCCTCATTGACTCGTTGATTACCATATGTGTCTGCAAGATCAATGGAATCATCAAACTTAGTACCAAGAAATTTATGATGACTCAATCGGGTTATCGAGCTATACTATTTTGAAACACTTTATGTTCATTTTGTAATTAGATTAGGTTAAATTACTTGTTTACTCTCTCATTGTACTCAATCAGTTCAATGTGATTCCTCTATTATTAAAAGATTAAATTTGATTTCTTAATTTTTAAAAATTGTGCAATAATATGATTATTTTTATCTGGCTTGGTGTTTTTTAATTAAACATGCTACAACTAAATGTTCAAGATCTTTAAGTTTAATTGGGATTTTGCCAGGAAATTATAGGATCTAATTGGATAAGTTTTTCTAAAGAAATATTTTTATTTTAATCCCTATATATTGTAACTTTTTTTTAATCATTGTAAAATTATTATTTTTAAATGTTCCTTGTCAAATTTACTCTTTTATTTTGGTCCTTATTATTTTATTTTAGTATTTATAATATATCTATTTTTGATTTTATTTCCTATAAGATTTTGTTATTTTGAATTAGTCCTTTCGAAAAAGTATCAATAGGGACTAATTAAAAGAAAATTATTCATACATATTACAAAGACAAAAAAAAAATGAAAATTACGCATATATTACAAAGAAAAAACTGAAAAATTATTACAAGATCCAAAATAAAATACTAAGAACAAAAAAAATAAAAAAAGAAATTTTTTCAGGACTATTTCAAAAAATAATTTTATAAGGAAAAATATATTTAATTAAGTCATTATTATATGATTAAAATTATTGATTTTTATATAATTATTTTAAAAGATTTCTAAGGTAACTTTAATAAATTGATTATACTAACATCATTCATTAAAGTTAGATTTTTATTTAGAAACAATGAAAAAGAGGCATTTTATGTCTCTATAAATTTTGTTCAAAAATAAAATAAAAACTAAAAATAACAAAAGTTACAATATATAAATTAAGTGATATAGTATATACTATCTCCTGTCTTAATTATAAGCTAACATATAGGATAAATCATCATGATTAAGACAAATAATTAATTTTGTTAATTTTAATTAATTTTGTCATAAATTCTAACTTTATATTTTTTAAATACCCTTTATTTTAAGCATTTTTTTATATATTTAATTGTATTTATAAGTGGATATATAGTAAGTAAAATTAGTAATTAATTAAGAGTATAAAAGAAATTTTTCCTTGAGTAAAATTTAAAAACTAATAATTATTACTTATAATTAAGACCAAACCAAATGTAATAAATAATAAACTACAAAATAGTTTTAAATAAAATGAAGATTAAAAACGGTTAAAAAATTCAAACTAGTTATTAGTGCAAGAAAAAAAAAAGTCCAATTAGCAAATTGACACTAACCAGAGTGAGTTTGGAGAGTTGATCAACCGATGGAGTTGCTCCCTTGAAGACCTCTTTGACCTCAGCTCTGACTTTTTCTTGCCAATGAGGATTGCTAGCTAGCAACATGAATGCCCAAGTGAGTAAGAGTGCTGTGGTTTCATGTCCAGCAAAGAAAAATGTTTTGCATTCATCCATAACAAGTTGTAGATTCAAGCCACCACCCTCCTTTTTTATCTCATCCAATAGTATTCCCAACAAATCATTCCCATAAGTATTGCTTCTCCCCATCTCCACACAATCCTTTCTACTCTCTATGATCTCCATCAAGAGTCTCTCCACCTCCTTCTTCATGGACTTTATCTCTCTGTTGTACTTGTTTGGCAAAAACCTATGCATGCAAATTTAATTATAAAGTGTTACTTATATGTGATGATACTACAAAAAATATTACATATAAATGACATACAAAAAGTGTCAGGTATAATATATGTAGGTATAAATCTATTTGACACATAATTATATATAATTTTAGTGTTAATTTTAAATTAGATTTAACAATATATTTTGTGTGTCATTAAAGTCTCTACCCACACTTTTTAACAATATATTAATATATATTATATTTATTGTGAGTAAAAATAATTTTTAGTGACATATTATGTCACTATAGATTATGTGTCGCTATATGACAATTTTCTTGTAATGTAAAGTTACATTACATACCTGCTTCCAGGAAAGCAAAGGTGACGAGTTGCTTGAGCACAACGACTCTGCAACTGTGTGAGAAGATGGAATATTTGCTTTCCCTTTTGATAACTTGAACCAAACTCAGTTCTTGAGATGATATCTGCAGTGAGTTTGGTGAAACATTCTCCTATCTCTACCTCACTTTGCCCACTCTCCAACACATTTTCCAGTGATTCAATCATTTCCTTTGTGCATTCCACCATGTGCCATGCATAGCTCTATACACAAAATTATGCCCATCAACATTTTAACTCCAACCATTTGTAAATTAATTATTTAAATAACGTAGTGCCTTAGTTAAAGTTTATAAGTAATAGAACTCTATTAAAGTTTCACAATGTTACTTGCTATGTGTTTATTGAAAGTTTTCCATAAAGATTTTTCAGTTAAATTTAAGTTTTAAACAATTTTACAGAAAATATATAATATATTTACTAACATGTGAAATTAATTCCCTAGAGGAGGGGTCCAAGCAGTGACGGATTTAGAAATTTTAAGTAGTGGAGGCAATATTTATTTATATATTTGTAATATTAAAAAATTTATATATCACTTTTAAAAGTATAAATATATATTATAATTATTTTTTACAAGTTTTTATATCTACGATTACAACTAGAACTAGGTTAGACTAAATTATTTATAATTTAATAGGTCTGGATTTAATCTTTACTGAAAATACATGTTCTAAGTATGATTTATTTATTTTTCGTAGACATTTTTTTAATGTTTGGTTAGAATTACAATCCTAAAGACCTACTTTATAATAATTTAACACTAATAAAATTTAAAAATAAATATGTTAAATTCTATAAAAATCAAATTTAATTTATTTATAATATAAACATGTTTTTAATATCTAATATAAACTTTTAAATGATAATTTATTTAAAAACATTATTTTATAATAAAAATTTTAAATAGAACATAAATCTTACGAATTTTACTATTTTAATTTTTTTAATCAACGTGTACAATAAATAGAAAGCACCAAAGGTAAATATACATGCTACAAATCTTATTTTAAAAAATTAGTTCGTTATTAAAAAATATTATTTGTTATATATAAAAATTAATCTTCTTCAAAAATTTAAAAATATTAAATAAATAGACATCTTTTCCAAAATTAAATTTTATATATACAATAATTTAAACATATATAATTTTATCTTATTAAAATATAACTTTTATTTTTTAAAATAAAAAATATATATATTATGTAAAATTAGAAAATGATAGTGGGAACAAGTGCCCCACAACACTATACCTAGATCCATCTCTGGGTCTATGGCCTATACTTGTCCTCTCTAAATCTGTCTTTATCATAAATCATAATCAAGGAAGCTAATCTCTTTTAGAAGATTTCAAAGCACTTAAAGATAAGTAGTTATCTTTCAATTAAAATTTCTTCATATACATAGAAAGATTCAAATTTTTTATCACTTTAAAAAATTCAAAGTTAATTCTCATTTAGATCAACCGTTTGTTAATCAATACATGTCTAATATTTATTTTTATAATAATTATCTTAAAAATCATACAATAAAAATGATTTTTGATAGGTTAAAAAGTTTATGCATACTTAATAGACTTTTATAGTCACTAAAATCAATCGAGTTACAAAATGTTTAAGTAATTTCAAACCTTGTTATAGTTATTAAAAAAAAACTCATGTTAAAGTTATCATGAATTCAAAACAAAAAGAGGGTCTACCAAAGCATTATACATAAAAATTCATGTGATTGATGAATTAGTATGAAGATATATATACCTTAAGTGTGTCTCCCATGAATGCAGGGGCAACCATGTGTCGTTGGTGGTACCATTCTTCACCATTTGCCATCAACAATCCTCGGCCAATGAAATGTTTGCTTCCTAGTTGTTGCTGCCACGATTTGCCTGTTATAGTACTGTACTTTGATGACAGAAACTCCTTTATCAATGCAGTGTCTGTTAGGCACAGCCTTGGTTCTGTACCATTCCAATATAGGAATCTCTTTCCTACACAATCCCATTAACAAAATATGATTAACATATAGAGACACATAATGATACTATGGATTCTGAGTCAGTTGGTTGAATAATGAGTTGTTTTAAACATTTTGGCATTGATTCTTGAATTTGATTCCGATGAATCATATTTTATTTTGATAAAACATGACCACAATCAATCTTAATCGTAAAAAAACGTGTATGAATGGTATAAAATTGACTATGCTCAAATTTAATCTTAAATTAATTAATTGTTTTCATTTCTTATTTAATATGTTCCTTACTAATCTCATTTATATGAAAATAAAGAAATTGAAAATAGCCACACTAAAAAAAATTAAGATTTTGGATGTCGAAAAATTCTTTTCCTTTTAAGCTCTTTCCAATAATCTTTCCCTGTTTCTCTTCTTTTGTGAGTCTAATTGTCCTTCAACTATCAATCCAAAAAATAATTATACCAAATTTCATAAATGTCTCAGGATACCATAACAACTCTAAATTTTGATTATATATTTAGACATGAATGATAATTATTTTATTTTTCTCATTTTCACACGATATGTCCCATATACATGAATATCTTCATACATATATATTGACAGAGACATAAAATTAGAGATAGATTTATATGGAGATTTGTGGGGACAACTATCTTCACAAACTTGTTTAATTCTTCTCAATAAATAATTTGGAAGAAAATTTATGATATTTTAAAAGATTGAAGGATTTTGATATTGAGAAACTCTCTTTCACTCTCTTTTCCTCTCTTCTTCTTTCACGAGTCTAAATTCTTTCAACTATCAACCCAAAATGTAATTAAATCAAAATATTTAGATTTCTCGTCATATCTTAGCATCTCTTTAAATTTTGATCATAAATTTATACACGAACGACATAGAGCTTTATGGGGACAACAATCTTCACAATTTTTTTTAATATCTAAGTGTATCAATATAAATTACTCTCTAATTCAAAATGTAACAAAAGGGGCCGATTCATAATACAGGTATTATTTCCCACAAATTTACACACACAACTATCGTTTCCATTTCTTAAAATTTTTAGATCTGATACTAGATGAAGTTATGTGTGTAGTGAAAGATGAAGAGAGATACCATATTGTTTAGACCAGGCAACAAAATGTGGCAAAAGGCGACCAACAATGTCATGGTTGATGGTTTTCATGTCTTGAGAAACTGCTCTTGAAACAAGGGAGGTCATGTCCATGATGTTACCTGTGAGAAACCGAGGTTTGGGGCCACACACACCTTGCCTCTCCATGACCCTTTTGATGCGCATTGGAGTGAGCCAATAACATGAAATGGTGTCATAGAGAACTTTCAATAGCACAGTCACAAAAATCACCAAAAGGGTTGTCAGAATCACCATCATGATCACAATCACAATCACAAGAGAGTTTAATTGTGTCTGAGAATGATACTCCTATTTGTTTCTTGAGTCACTTGTATATATATATAGTACAAATTGACGGGGATCCCTTATTTTGATTATGAAAAATTTAGAGTAATATTGTGATTTTGATTGGGGTTGGTGGGGACTATACCATACTTAAATTGTAAATGCAGTTATTGAATTGTGATTGATTATTAAAATTTGTGACGAAACCGAAAGATTTCAATCACAATTGTTGTCAGTTGTAGAAACCTCTCAAAAGTATTATATTATAAGTGATGTTACGGTTATGAATTAAGATTTACAGCCTTTTCACAATACTTTAAATATTCTTTTTCGGGCACATTTATTTTCTTTATAAAAGAAATAATTTATCATAAGCTTCTATGTAATTAACGTACATATTAATTAGATATCATAATTAATATAAAAAAAAAACTATAGATTGACCGTGCAACACTTTCTTTCCGCCAGTTGTATACACTAACGAAATGATTATTACTCATTTTAGTTCAAGTGGTTTCACATTTACATTCCTTAACAGCAATAGAGTTATACATTATTAAATAAATAAATAAAATTATATTATTCACTATGAGTGTGTTAAAATATAACTTCTGAAAAAGTCTATATTTATTTATATAGACCATAAATATTTTAATAACTTCTTTTTATCTTCATTTTATATATAGACACTTTTATTCTCAATTTACCTACTTTTTATTTATTCTTTTATTATATTTTAAAAATCAACCACTACTATTTTTAAACCATTTTTTTCTCTTCGTGTCATAACTAACTATCTTTATTCTTTATTTTAAGTAAATATAAAGATACCTAAAATGTCTTTTTGTCACTTGTTATTAATAAAAGAAATACTATATATGACTGTTAGATGATTATGCAAAAAAAATGTTTACATTATAACGCATTCTAAATTTCTAGTTAAATTCTAAAGCCAATATGGATAGTGGAAGGGGTTAAATTTCTAAATTTCAAAAAGAGGATGCATTTTAAAAATAAAAGAAACTATTAATATTTGTATAAATATTTTTCTATGATTATAGTGTATAGAGAAATATAAATAAAAAGTATCAACTCAATGAAAATAAAATAAAAGGACATCTTGTAACTGCCGGATTGAAGACATTATGTATTCAAAAATTTTAATTTTAACTATTTGAAATTTAGTTTAATTAATAAAAAATACTTTTAATGGTGATTTATATGCATCATAGTGTATCTTGTGTTGATGAAAGAAATGTTAGCATCGATTAAAGAAATTTAATGGATAAAGAAACTACCTACTGAATTAATAATTTAAAGATTCTGTTTGGCATGTCACGTAAATTAGTTTCTAAATAAGTTAGCTTCTACTTTGTCAAAAAATAAAAAGTTAGCTTCTAATTCATTTGAAATTTTATAATTTTGGTTAACTATGTAACATTATGAGTTTTAGATGTTTTACGTTTAATTATATGATGGATTGTAAGATTAGCTCTGATTAGTTGTTAGTTGTTGTTTTAGGACTATGGAGTCTAGAAATCATAAGAGTTAAGTTACCTTTGAGATAGTTGAGTTAAAGTTATTTTAATTTAGTTTAAGGAAGGGTATATAAGGTTTTCTTAAGATGTGAACCTTATAAATTCAAGTTTTAAGAAAAATTAGAGAGAAGTTAGAAAGAAGTTCTCTAAAAATTGAATCTTTCTTCTCCTCTTTTTCTACTAAAATTCTTCCTTTTACCTTCTTCCATAGTTGATCTAGAGTAACTAAATTAAAGATTCAAGGTTGTAGCTGAAAATCTTAGCTAGTGGAAGTCGTACGACAGCCTAGAGTTCTTCCCTTCTCTTCTCTTCTTGGTTCAAATCAATAAGAAGTAACGGAAGTTTTGTGTTGTTTGTTGAAATTGCATGTGGATTATTATTGTTGGATTTCATCTAATGATTTATTGATGGAATGAAGATGAATTGATATGTTGTTGTGTTTCTGGTTGTCTTGAAGTGGTGCATGAGTTGGATATGATGATTCTTGAAAGATAATGATTGCATGTGTTGTTTGATATTGGAAATGAGATTTAGAGGTTATTTATATGATGTATTATGCAATGCATGTTGGCAAGTTATTGTTTTTCAGGTGAATTGGGAAAATTCGATTTTTGTATAAGCGTAAAAATTGATATTGTGTCGCGTCATCATGGCATCAAACGTGGTTTAAGGTCAGAGGTTCTTATTCTTTTAGTGTCGAGCATAAGATTTATGGTATTGAGCGGTAGGAGACAGAATCGTCTACAAACTGACCATGTTGGGCATGGGTTTGAATGGTGTTGGGCATAAGAAAAGAGAATTATCTCTACTTGGATCCACGTCGAGCAATAATAGATTGACATTGAACGTGAATTAGGTAGAGGCCCTCTATTTGATTAGCTTCAAACATGGAATTTTGCTGCGTTAGGTGTGAGAGAGTGGGAGACTCTCTGCCTTAGCCATGTTGGGCACGAGTGGTTTTATGTTGGGCGTGGACGAGACAAGAAACTCCCTTCCTCAATGGCGCTAGGCATTAGGAGATGGCATCGGGCGTAAGTTGCATAATTCTAATGTGATGTTTAAGTTGTTTCATGATTCATAAATGATGATTAAATTGTAAGATGAAGATGATATGATGATAATTCATTATGTTTTTAGTTGATATGCGGTGTGATGATGTGTTTGTTGTTAAGTTGTAAGTTGTTAGATGATGATTAAGTTGTGTAAGTTGTATGATACTATAGTTGATTAAGTTGTTAAGTTATTAGACATGTGATGTATATAAATGTCTTAATTGAGATACATTAAAACTAGAGGAGAGTAAAAATTATTTTAGAAATTAAAATATCTCAAATTGTGGATATAAGTTGTGGTGCTCTAAGAGTCCAAGTTGAAATCTTTCAGTAAGTAATTTGGCTTCTAAATGAATAGTTGTTTTTATGTTTTCTTCTCTATGTTTTATAGGGTATCTGTATGTGAGCAAGGTCAATGCATACGTATATAAAGTGACCAACCGAGTAAAGTACAAGGTTGGAGACTTAGTCCCTAATCGAGAATTGAAAGGCATGGTATTTGGAGGGTAGTTGGTAGGCTAATCCCATAGATGGTATAATTTTGCAAGCTAATGTTATGGTAGAGTTATACCCAAATTGTTCTACCATGATAGAGTACTGGACTTCCTAGTTTAAGAGGTAAAACCTGAGAAATCAAATTAAGTTGTTAAATAGGTTCTCTAAGATGCATGAAATTGTCTATACCTGACCTGATTGCGATAGGCCAAATGCCGTGGTTCAGTAGAATCTAGCCACTTAAACTGTTCACCTTATTGTAGGAGATCTCCTTAGTTGATATGTGTGATGACTCATTTATTATATATTGTTGTTATGAGGAACATGTTGTTGAGATGACGTTGCTAAGTTGTTCTATGTTGTAAGTTATATGTGGTGAATTAGATGATAAGCTGAAGTTATGTTGTTTAAATGGCTGTTTTTGTTTAAGTTGCTTATGGTGACACTTTTTGTTGTTGTACATGTTGAATTCTTTGGCAAGTTTACCTTGTATTTTCCTTATGGTTTGAATTGCAATGATCATACATTGTATGAGAACAGAATAGGATTAGCAAGATAAGTTGATTAGTTGGTGGAGGGTCACATTGGAGGTGCCCTGGTTTCGATATTGTTACTCTATGTATAGACGTTTGACTGGTGAGTATGGTTTATTTTGTATACAGTTACGTATTTGATGTAGATTGTAAATATGTCTGGGGTATGTGTATAACACATTGAGGGGATTTACATCTTAAGTTGTTTTATATTTTTTACCCTATGTGACACCCTTACTACCTCAACACATATATTGTTATAATGTAAATAAACTAAGGAAATAAATTTTTCAACATCAGTAAAAGGGTTCTCAAAAAAACCTTTAGAAACATTCTTCAATATCCAAAATATTTTGAAAATGAAACTTGGAAAATAAAGCTTAAGAGGTTACAAAATGTTATCAAAATAATAAATACAACTCCATATACAAATAAAATCCATGTCCTAGAAATCATCTGCCCCGATGTCACAATATCAGAGCATACACATAATTCAACTATTGGCATTCTAGATACCACTCATAGCCAGATCTTCCTCACCTAAAACATCCACAAATTGTACGGTGAGAAAAGAAAACATCTATATGTAAAGAACACAAGGAAAAACACAACATAATCTTATCATAACTAAAAAATTAATGAAGTCTGTACAAGCATATCCATACATTCTAATTCTATCAATCATGCATCATATTCACATCACAATTTCACAATCACACCAATCTATCACAAGTCTTGCAATTAACACTACGCCAATGGTCACGCCACCTCAAGGTCGTGCCACTATAGACATAAGTGATACGTATTAATTGCCTCACTCATCCCACACTATGGCAGGGGTATGTCATTCCTGTAGCATCACTTACCCAGGGTCGTTTCATCCCTATTCATATGTGTGAGGAACCATTCCACTATAACTAGTTATTTCGGTTTTTTACTAGTGGTTTTAATTATAACTTTAGCTCTTTTTATTGGTCTGAGTAAAATACGACTTATTTGATTTGTAATTTGGAAATTTATTGTAAATTTGTTTTATTCCATTTGGAAGAGTCTTTTTTTCTACAAACAATGCTATTTATTTTAGGGTTATGTATTGGATTAAGATTTTAAAGGACTTTTTTAGTTGAAAAAAGTCCCGTGGATTTTAAAGACTTTGTAAGATTTTCATGAATTTTAAGATTTTGTAGAATTTTGCAAGACTTTCAATCAGGATTTTAATGGACTCTGCAAGACTTTTACGTTAGAATTTTAACAAATTTTACGGAACTTTACAGAATTTTGTAGATTTTTTACATACGATAAGAGTTCAGAATTTTTTTTCATACATTTAAATTTAAAAAGAGTCAAAGACAAAAATAATAAAAAAAACAACAATGTCTAGATAAATAATAATAATAATTTTTCATACTATCATGTCCTTCTAAATAACATTCACCCACATATCCATAGCTATACTAGTCC